AACGCCACCTCGACGCGCTTTATACTGTGAGGTGAAGACCTACAAGAACCCCGCGGTTGAATGATTTCCTGCTGCTGGTCTTTTATTCTCCGCTGCTCCTTCCTGCACTCCTCGATGGCTGAAGGAGATATTATCACACGTCTACAGCTTACTGGAGGAGTATGAGAAACACCTCACTGTGTCCACACTGTTGTGACGATGCTGATTGCAGCGTGTGCACATGGAAAGGTGGGAGAGCTGCGCCGTGCTGCCACACGCAAATTACACATGAAAAAAAGACTTGTTTAGTCTATAGTGCTCCTCATTAATCTCCTTTTCTAAAGCAGGATAATTAACCACGTCTGCTGTGTGTCCACTTTAATATCCGCCTGTAAAAACTCTGGGGACAGTTTACAGATGTTGAAAACAGCAGATATTTAAACCGCAGGGTGTTTGTGTGTCAGCAGCCTGTGTGAAACACGGCGATCCTCCTTCTGGGTCACAGACAAAGAGAATCCACCCGGTCCTGGTGTTGGTCTCCAGGAGCACCGAGCAGGAAACACATGTGACCTCAGTCTGCTGCTGGTCCCAGCAGTGACTGTACTGTGGCCATAATGACGTTAAAGCAAAGACGATCGTCCTCACTGACACAGGAATTCAATAACACTTTGATAAGACGAAAGATGATGACATCATCATTGAATCATACCTGTTATTAATCTGTCTCTCTTCCACAGCGTGTCTTTATCCTGTCTTAACCCCATAGTTGGTCGCAGCAGATGGCCCCGCCCCTCCCTGAGCCTGCTGGAGGTTTCTTCCTGTTAAAAGGGAGTTTTTCCGTCCCACTGTCGCCCAGTGCTGTTGACAGGGTGATGAGGTTTTCTCCTGAATATTGTAGAGTAGCAGAAAAATGACTTTGACGACAGTCTTGTTGTGAGTTGATGCCATCTGATAAACTTGAATGGAACTTTTTTTGTCGCCGACGTCCTGCTCAGGAGACACGTGTCTGCGTGAGGCGAGATGGAAAGAGGTTACCATGGTATCATTAAAAATCATCAACTATTCATCCTGAATTCAAACAGATCTCATAACACAGCAAACATGACGAAGGCTGAAAGAAACTCGGACGGTGAACTGCGGGGCGACGGTGTGGCAGCTTTCCACAGCGGTGCACTTGGATAAAACCCACTAAGGGTAAAAACAACAAGAGCAAACTCTAGAGGTGAGACGAACAGACGAGCAGCCTCTAGAGCCTGATGACAGCTTCTCACCAGCCAGTAATCAGCAATAAAGGTACGTGTCACAGGGGGAGGAGCTTCAGCACGCACTGACCAGAGTCCGCAGCTTTGATTTTTAATGGATCATTGATGGATTATTAACTTTAAGAGCGACCAGAAGTCACGCAGGATGTTTACATAAGGACCAGCTGTGAGCCGAGCCTAAGAACACGTCCCACAGACGCTCCCCGACTCTGTGAATGGTGCTCGTGGTCGTTCGTGGTCATGACAGCTTGCACATTAATGATCATGGCAATGAGCTTGTGGCTTCCAGCTTGTGTGCACAGCTGGAAGCAGCTGTGCACACGGCTGGATCACGTGACGAGTGAAAACACGTTCTTGGTGTAACTTTAGGTTCCTCACACTGGAGTCACAGCTCGTTACAGTGGACTCACACTGCATACTATTCTTGTTGTGCGAGCACTTTGCAACTTGTTATTGTGTCTATGTACGCACTTCTGTTTGTCCTTCTTCCTGCTGTCTAATATTTATATTTCATTCCAGCACAGTCGGTGTGAATCTCACTGGGAGCACTGGTTTTGATAAGTGTTTTAGGTCTTCTTATACTTGAACACTGGGCGTTTCCAGTGTAACGGCGGATATGTAAAACTAGCTCATATTCACGTAATATAACGTTTGTGCTTTTATTTTGGTAACTTCCTGTGTGACCGGAAGTGAACGATGTAACGGTAACCAACTTGATGTACAAAAAGACGGAAGAAAACGGAAAGCTAATGCTAACGGAGAAAAGGGAGAGAAAAATAT